TCCTTTCCATACTGAGATTCTGTGTATCTCAGAGTAAAGAGATGGTGGACTTACCACCATCCAGCAGAGCAGCGTGTAGTCTCGGGGTTTCCTGGCAGAGACTGCCTGTCTTTCTAGAGTGAAAAACCTTCTTCGTAGTAAGAGCCAACAATTTCAAGAAATACTGATCAAATTTTAAAAGGGTTTAAAGGCAGTTGGAGATCACCTACAATCCTGTTACTCGGAATTATTAACACTTTGATGCATAGCTTTATCGGATATTTCCTATGCATAAATCCATAATATAATTTTTCAAATTAAACCTGTATTATGTACCTGGGAGTCAGAGAGCTGCCGCTGAGGGTTGAACTGATAACCTCAGGCATTAAGGCAAAAGCTCTATCACTGCGCTATGTCCCCAGCCCCTGGGTCACGTGACTTCATAACCTATCTTTAGTCTTACTTTGAAATTATACCACTATGGTCCCTTTTCATGGGCACCAGTGACTGTACATCTCTGTCAGCTTTCTAAGTGGTGATCCAGTACACTCCTGTATGTTACTCATGCAAACTCAGTAACAAGCAACTTTCTGTAGAGAGTTGTAAGATGGCGTTCTGAAAGGTACCAGGACTGCTTGAGAGGGGTTCTCCTAGAGATGACTTTGTCCCCCACCATCTTTGGTTTTTTCAAGAGAGTTTCTCTCTGTAGCCATGGATGTGCTGGAACTAGCTCTGTAGACCAGGATGGCCCCTAACTTACAGAGATCCGCCTGCCTTTGCCTCTCAAGAGCTGGGATTAAAGGCATGGGCCACCATTCCCTGGCTAGATATAATTTCTTAATCTTGGGCTTCTGAGATTCTCTCCTCCACAGGAGTCTAGGGACTCTGAACTGTTCTGTCAGCTGCTCATAAGGGAAGGTAAAATCTAGGAACACACAGGGCACCATTACACTCGAAACTCACGACACCCCTCATTGGCTATTAGAGGCCTCATGAGCGTCCTAATGTTCCAAAATCTATTAAGCCACAACTCAATATCACACATGGAACGTCTCATGCGGTGAGACCTTGTTTCCTACAAAATACTATTTAAAATATTGCTTTAAATTGTCTTGAATAGTGTGTATGAGTTATATATAAGTATGGATGGATGTTGTGTTTACATTTAGGTCCCATTTCCAAGATATAGCACACATACACATTTTGAAATCTTAAAAAAAAAAAAATCAAAAAAAAAAAACCAAATCCTAAACACTTCTAATCCAAAACTCATTAGGTAAGCGATATATAACCTGCACTGGGTAATCAGAGGACAATTTTCCAGTGCTGTGTAATATATAGTCATATATGATGGTGACAGGACCTCAAGTTGAGTCAGCATACTGTGTGACATTGGCATTTGCATAAATAGTGAAGCCACTGCTCTTAGTCTAAGGGGTATTGGTTTCCTTTTAGGGGGTAAGAAAAATGTTGCCTATGATGATAACCACATAACTCTGTGACTATGCAGAAAGCTGCTGAACTGTGCATGGGAAATGGTCAAACTGTGTGGTATGTGAATTATATAACAATGAGCTTGTTTGGGTGGGGGAATATCACCACCTTACCAAGGGAAGGCCTGGGCTAGAATTCTGACTTTGTTCCTGTCAAACAGTGAGAACCTGGCCACTTCTGACCAGCTTTCTCCCCAAGCTGAGGGCAGGCTTTCTCCTCTCACCCATGGATGCGAGCTGCCCATTTGTCCCTGGACTTTCAACTTCGGTGATAGTAGCCCTTGCTTCAATCTCTTCTTTCTCTCCCACCCAAGCTTCCTTCACTTCCTCCTCACACCCACACCCAGCATGTTGGCATCCCTCCTCATCTCTTAGGCACCCTTTACTCCAGGCCAGTAGCTATCAATGACAACCGTTCACTAGAAGCACTTGGAAAGCTGTAGATCCCACTGGTGCAGACTCCATGCCAGGAGCTGGGCATCAGTCACTTCTTACAGCTCTCTTGCTGGTTCTTATGTGCTACGAAGATTAAGAGCACCTGCTTGGCCTCACTTGGATTACAGTAGATGCTTCCTGGCTAGTCTTCTCGTGTTGCCCTTCCGTATCATGCCCTCTCAGTACATGCAAAGACAAAGCCGCACCTTGTGTTCAGGGACCAGCAAAATTACCATCCACCTTCGTTGATGTTGAGAAGACTAAACAGAGAAGCTGTTGGTCCTTTGACTCAGCATCTGCCCTCTAACTCTTTCAGAGCGCCCTGGCTTGAACTTAGCTCTCCAGACAAGAGACTCACTGCTCCTGGGCACCCTCTGACATCCTGTCTAACTACAACTTCATCAGACACCAAGAATGTCCATGTTTTTTCTATGCTAACCTGTCTTCTTTCCGATTAATGCCCATCTATAACCTGGGAGTCTTTACATAGCCCCGCAGCCACTCCAAAGAGAGAATGAGAGGTAGACAGGCTTGTGGACCACCCCGACCCACTGGAGTCTTCATTGTGAAGTGTTGGATGGGGATGTTACAGAAACACTGCTCCCCAACTTGCTCCATAGCACCGGTACTAAAATGAAAACTTTAGGGAATGAAAACTTACCTAGAATCCTCAAGTCCAGCGCCGTATTCAGCTCACAGCTCCCATCCATGTTACACACTGTCACATTATAGGTGTCGCTGTCATTTCTCATCAGCTTCTTTATCTTCAGGGATCCATTTGTTAAGATCTCAAATGCTTCTGATTTCAAATACGGTTTGTCATTCTTTTTAAACAGTGCAACCAGGGCGCTACCTTTTTCCCATCGCACATCGTCAGTATCGTCAGTCATTTTAAAGCCAGGGATGTTCAGGGTGATGCCATGACCCAGGACACCCCAGACAATCCTACTGGCTCCGCAGTCTGCCCCTGTTAAAAAGTAAGGTGGTTTCTGAGGTCTTAGAACTACTGGGAATGTCCCTCTTTGCCTCTCACTTCTACTCCGAGGTCTCCAGAGGGGCTCCACACACATGCTTACCTTTGCTGGAAAGGCTGAAGAGCAGAAAGAAACTACCTAGGAATTTACATCTCATCTTTAGAATTCTCTTCCCAGGGGTGACTCTGAGTTCTTCTTTCTGTCAGGACTGTGGTGAGGCTGGCAGAAGCCACACCCAGCAACCTGAACCACGTGCCTCTCATGCTTGCTGCTCACAGTAGGGAAGAAAACACACCCTCAGCCCCTAGCAAAAGACAGTACATTTGCTGCCCTCCTTAGCCGAAACAGGTGTCTGTGTCACATTTTAATCTTTCCAAAACAGTTTAGGGTGTTGGGTTTTAGCATCCCACCGGAGGAAGAGGAACTGGGAGGTCAGTTGCCAGAGCTACCCCTTTGTAAACAAGGGCTTAAACCTAGCTGCCTACTCAGCTGTGCTGCCTTCAGCAGAAACAAGGAGACTCGCCAGCAAACGGTCATAAGGGAATAGAATTCAGATATGTATATTTGGGAAGGATTAGGAGGTGTGGCCTTGTTGGAGGTGTGTCACTAGGCATGGGCTTAGAGGTTTTTAAAGCCCTTTGTGGTCCTGTTCTCTCTCTCTCTCTCTCTCTCTCTCTCTCTCTCTCTCTCTCTCTTTCCTCCTGTGGATAGGAATGTAAACACCCAGTTACCATTCTAGCACTTACATGCCTGCTGCCATACTTCCTGCTGTGATGGTCGTGGAACTGTAAGACCCAATAAATTCTTTCCTCTGTAAATTGCCTTGTTTTGTCACAGCCATTGAAAAGTAACTGAGACACTTATGCAATGCCTGAAGAGGCCTGAAAGGGCCATGGGATTCTCTGGAATTGAAGCTACAGATGGTTGTGAGCTGCCTTGTAGGTGCTGGGAATGGAACCTGGGTCCTCTGGAAGAGCAGCTAGTGCTCTTAAGTACCAAGACATCTCTCTTGTCCTAAGACTATAAAATAATAATGAACAACCAAATTCAAAATACCCAGGGCGATTAACACTACAGATGACTAAGGAGGTGGAGAGACCAGGACAATCAGAACTGGGAGAGAGAACAAGAAAAAGAAAAAAGAACAGGGTTCGTGATCTGGGAAAGGGTCAGGGATGTAAGGACTAGCATCCCTAAAAAGACGACAGAGCGGTCACATGGGCAAGAGATACAGTAAACATCCAGTCTTTCGATTCTTTAGAATTCAGTGAGAAAAGTTCTTCAAAATCATGAGTTTTCCATTTCAGGTTCTTACAACAGCCACAACAATGCAGTATGGTTGAGTTAAAACATTAATTCCTAGGGGGGAAAACCCAAGTGTTAAAAACTTAATAGGAAACATAAAAGAATTTCTATCCTTGAGTATAGAAAAATCTTCCTATATATACTGCACAATTCAGAAATAGTAAAGATGGACATTATAGGCCACGTAAAAATCTAGAATCTATGCATGTACAAAGGGCTAATAAAACATGTGAGAAGTCATGACAAAATATTTGCAATATAAGAAAACTGTTAATATCTAAGATGTAAGCATCATTTCTTATTTTCCCTTTGGGATGCTGAGGATGGAACCTTGAGCACTCGAGGCAGGCACTCAACCACTGAGCTACATCCACAGTCAAAGGTATCAGTAGTTTTTATCCATCATTAACAAAAACATTTTTAAAATAGGAAAAAATTATTGGTTTATCAAAGAAATACTGTGTGTGTGTGGAGCACGTGTGTGTGTGTGTTTATGTGTGTGTGTTCATGTGTATACATGTGCTTACACCCCAACCTGGATCATATTGCTTTTAAAATGAAAACTTTGTTTGCATAAAGGATGCTTAAGACATCCCTTTCTGAGAAACCATTAGCATGTGACATCTCTGCTGCTAAGTTCTAGTCACTGGCCACCTGGCCACCAGCCATGGGAGGAGGAAGCACATATCAGCCTCTGCTGTGAGCCAGTTGTTGTCCTCTCACTTTCCTGTGGTCCCCATGCTCTCAAGGAGCCATGCTCTCCTCCCCTGATTTACAAGGCTAACCATGTTCTTTCCCCCCATCCACTTCAGTTCTGAATGATGAGCCAGCTTCAAAGGAGAACCATAAAGGAGGAAAATGGACAGGTCTCATTCGGTAAGATGTAAAACTTTACTATGTAAGAAAAAAATTTTTTTAATTGAAAGGCTATATAATAAAAGAGGCAAATTACTGACAAGATCCATGACAAAAGTTAATACCATTAATTAATTTTTTATAAAAATTAGGAAAAAATAGACAGCTATAAAATGGGTCAAAGTTCTTAAAAGAATGATTCACAAAGGGAGAGATCCAATGAAATGACAAATCTGTGAAAGGGTAGTTAATAGTCAAAGTAAAGTTGATAGTAAAAGGTAGTCACTAGTGAGATACAGTGACAGGGATACATTCATTTAGAAAGCGAAAGTAGAGCTATCGGTACAGTTCAGAGGAGTTAGATAGCTCCATGACATGGAGGAGTGGCTCAATAGTTAAGAGCTCTGGTTGCTCTTCCAGAGGTCATGGGTTCAATTCCCAGCTCCTACATGACAACACAACGTATAACTCCAGTTCTAGGTAATCCAGCTCAAACAGGCATGCAGGTAAAACACTCATACACATAAAATAAAAGAACAAAACTTAAAGGGGGTCAGCCTGTGCGGAGAAGAACTCAGTTACAAGCCATTGGCATGTGTTTTTATTATTTTATCTGGTTCTTAGATTTCTACCTCCCTTCTAACACTTATTCTGCCCCATCTCTTCCAACCCCCTCTCCCTCATAACACATACTAGGTAGGAGAGAAAGATTAGAGGGGAAAGGGGACATAGACTTCTTTAGACCATTTCCTGCTGATTAGGGACATTGAGCTTCTTGGGGCAAGACCAATCTTCATTGTCATAAGGACCTTGCCAACTTCTGCTTGTCTCTTTTGCTCACAGTCACTTGACAAACTCCCAAAACAGCAACCAAGAGCAGCCGCCGCCTCCTCCTCCTCCCCCTCCTCTTCCTCCTCCTCCTCTTCCTCCTTTTCCTCTTCCTCCTCCTCCTCTTCCTCCTCCTCCTCTTCCTCCTCCTCTTCCTTTTCTTCCTCTTCCTCTTCTTCCTCCTTTTCCTCCTCCTTTTCCTCTTCTTCCTCCTTTTATTCCTCTTCCTCCTCCTCCTCTTCCTCCTCCTCCTCCTCCTCCTCTCCTTCCTCCTTCTCCTCTTCCTCCTTCTCCAAAGTGCCTCTTGCCCCTCTTGGGGCTCTAGCATTTATCCCCTATCCAGAGTCCCCAGAATTAAACTATCTAGAACTGGCAAAAATCATGCCCTTCCAAGAGCAGGAGACAACCATAGTGGCTGTGGACAATCTGAAGCAGCCTCATATCCCACACCTAGAATTGAAATAAAAACATATTCACATAACATAACTGGGTTTTTAAGAAACCAAAATTCTCACTACAACAAGCCACCCAATGGGCAGGGTGGAACTTGGCCTCATCTACTACTTTAGTGTCAGCAAAGGGAAGGGGGGTTAAGGCTCTCAGATGGGAACAGCCAGTCCCAAGGTGACCACATCAGGTCCTGTACTTGAGTTCGAGGAGCAGGAGGTGTGTCTGCAGACTAAGGTCAGTCAGTAGGAGTTCAGAATTCTGAGACCTCTTCTTCCTGCCTTCCTAGTAGAGGAAAAGGCACCATTTTTCACAAATAGATATTTCCTTTATACATGCTAATTTCCCTTTCAGAGGGAAACTTGAACCCTGTTTGTGGACCTTTCTTTGTCTCTGCTTGTCCTCAACAGCATGTAGCATAAAATAATCTGCATTGCAAAGAGGCACAATTTGGGGTGGCATATTTTGGTACCCTTTATGACAAAAAAACACATAAGCTCATCTTATTTCATAAAAAGTCATGGGGTGCCCTTAGAGGGGAGTCTCTGTGTTAGGGGCCAGCGGCTGCTGTTCTGCGTGTTGCTGCTATTTTAATCCTCTTATCTTGGACAGGCATTGCTTTTGATTGGTTGAGTCCTCATCCTAAGTATAGCCCACCCCTTCTTACAGCCTCAGGGTTGCAGCCTCTGCCTCTGGCTGTGTGGGTTTTCAGGGCACAGCTGGTAGATTCTCCCTTCCGCTTCTCCTTACAGATGCCCTACGCTCCAAGGCTGATCTCCTGATCTCTCTCCATTCCTTCTTTTTCTTGCTCAAACTGAGGCTCCTGGGAGGTAGACTAACAGGAAGAGAATATGAAATGGAGGAGGAGGAGAGAATGTGTTCTCAGGGGTCTCGGCTGAGTTCCCTGTAGGACTGAGGCACCCAACTCTACTTCCTTCACTGTGGGACAAGGGAGAGCCAGACAAGGCTCAGGTCAAGTTGACATTGTGGCCGAGACAGTGTTTCTAAATTCATATTCTACTGGATTGCTTGAACTGTGGGATTTTAGAGGAACTCATGAGAGAATCTGGTCTTCGCTTGACCACTCAGTTGAGGGTTCTAAATCCAGGGAGTTTCTGGATTGTATCTGCCCTGTTGGATCCAGCCATTATCTGGTTTTCAGTCCCTGGAAGCTGGGCTCTAAACTCTGGGGACTTCCTGTTCCCTCCTGTCCTAAGGCTATCACTGAGTCCTGTTTGCTACAGTCCTGTTTCCCAAGCTTTCACACTTCACACTTTCACACTCAGGCAAAAACCCAAACCAGGAGCCAAGCATGTAGCATTGTTTACTAAAAACTTATATTCACCATGGCTTCTGTGATTAACAGCCCGGGAAGCCACGCCGCCTGCCTGGTTCTGGCCAGGTTTTTGTTGATGTTCAGCTTGGTCATATCTGGCTGGCCCCATCTGTCAGAAGCCACAGCTGCATCCCATTCATGGGGACTGTTGTTGCCAGGCAATGTGTTTGGATGTGCTTGGCCAGCAACATATGTCCTGTGACAGGTGGTGAGCTCTTTCTGCATGGACCACCTCCTGCCTGCAGATCTGCCCTCCACCTAGCTTGCTTCCCTGAGGAAAAACAATGGAGCTTCCTTTTCCTCTTGCAGTTGCCACCCACAGGTTACTTCGGGTTCCGTTCCGAAGCTAGAGTCACCAAACGTGGAAGTCCCCTCAGGGTAACTATCTCTGCAAGAAAGACAAATTTGCCTGTCATCTGCTGAATAGTCAGTCATGCGATGGTGGAGAACACCCCCTCCCTCCCCATCATTCTCTAGATGGGTGACTCCAGACATGGGCGTGTGTGTCTTTGAGCCTCAGTTCCTCCAGCTCATTGTGAGAGTCAGATGAGGTGACATGTCCCACAGTGTCTGGACTCTAAGACAGCCTTGATGTCTGTCAACTTTGCTTTCCCCTTGCCTCTGTGTTCTGGTGGAGAGAGGCCTCCAATAGTCCATTTATACAGGTGATACATCCCACAAACCCCCACTGGATCTGGGGACCGCTGACCCTGCACACACCTTAACTAATTTTTGGTAATCAAGTTTTGTCTACAAATTAGGTACCATAGGAGATTAATAAGGACTAATGACAAAATTGAGCAATTGTGGCAATAAGCTATGAGAACAGTTATGGAAAATATATAAATTCATTACTTCTGGAAGTTCCCGTGTAAGATTTTTGAACTGTGTTGGATCTCAGGTAACTGAAACTGTAAAGAGGGAAACCCCAGATAAGCAGGCGTCAGGGGGATGCTGTGTTTAAGAGAGTGGAAATGGGGGAGCCTGAGATCTTCACCCTGAGGGTAAGCCAGGCAAGCTCCTAAGGCTGGGGCATCTGAGACAAGGAGTAGCAAGAACTAGGATAGTCTGGGCTGCAGACGCAGATCAACTGTGGAGCCTCTGCCTAGCCGCTGAGAACCCTGGGATCCAGCCTAGCTCCTCAAGAAACTTTAAGACTGCTTAGGTATGTGTTATTTTTCTTTGCTTCTTGTTTCCCCTTTGCAGCCCTCCTCCTGGTGATGTCTTAGGCTTGCTCAGCTGTAAGACCAGCAGTGCCTGTGAGTTTGTGAGCTGAAAGCCCAAGAGGTATATGACACAGAGACACAGGGTGTTTCTCAACAGCTAACTTAGGAGCAGCTCACGGAGGGCTGCTACTGATGTCTGGGTAGAGGGAAGTAGGCTGAGGCTTCTGCCTGAGGGAAGGGGATGCTGGCACCAGCTAGCCAAGGTGACCAGTGACCAGAATGCTAAAAGTCCATGCAGATCTTCAGTAAACATCAGGAGCCCAAAATACTGGCTACTGGAACAGCTGAACAGACCAGCTTCTCAAACGATGGCATAACGGAACCGAAGTTAGAAGATGCAGGCTCAGTGGATGGGTTTTCACATTTCCTGCCTGCTCTCTCTCTGATCATGGACACAACCTCTCTGTGCCTTTGTTTCCTCATAATTAAAGCACTCAGGTGAGAGAAGGAGGAACCAATTCTGCCCGCTCAATTTGTCTCTGAAGTTTTCGGTAACGACCAGGTGAAGTCACTATAGCAGGAGATGAACACTCATGATCCAGCACTCAGATCCAGCACTCTGGGTTCCAGAGAGTTGAAAGGTAAACTACACAGAGAGACCCTGTCTCAAAAGCCAACATCAGAAGATTGGATGCTTGTGTGTGATTCTCAAAGAACTAATAAACGTATTAAATTAAAAATAAAACAAAACAGTTAAGAAAACAATAACAGTAACAACAACAAAAAAATCACCAGAAATGGCCAAATAATATGGTGAGGTTAAGGACAAGAATGAAAAAAGTGCTTCACCCAGAGGCCCGCCCGATGCATGGTATGCTTAATGCAGGCACTATGAAGAGAGGCGGAACTGGAGATGAGGATGGAAAGGGATAGCCTGATGTAAGTAGCCTGCCAAGCCACTTGAGATCGTAGTGAAGTCTGGGCCAGTGATGCAGTGAGGGTCATGTCTGGGTCTGTGGCCATGCAGCAGCAGGCGTCTGTGTTGATGGTGGTGGGTGGTGGCTCATATTACCACCAAAGGCCATGTGGACATCCATGGTCTGGGTTCCAGCTTGAGCTCAAGTTGATGTCTAAGGGCAGTGCAGAGCTGGTAGGTAGGCTCTGTACCTTGCCTGGGCAGCACAATAGAATTGGCCCTGGTGTGTGTGTCGGGGGAGGGGGGAAGGTGCTGCTCACACTCCCAC